TATGAAAGCTGATAGTTCTCGTGTGGTCCCATATGAATTTGATCAAGGTCAGACCAAAAGTTTTTGAGTTATTCTTAAATAACTTATATCAGAAGTCAGCTGTACAAAATTTTTAATTTTAAATTATACAAAAATACACTTTAAATCTAATATATTTCAGGAAAGAAAATTATTTCACAAATTCACAAGTTTACGCGTTTATCGCTAAAAAGAACACCTTTGTCGTATCTCCTCAATTTCAGAGCACTTCCTTTGTTGCCTCAGCCAAAAGCGGAATCTTCGGCGTTGACATATCGAATGACCTGCAGTAGCATGGTCACTTGGAAGATAAAGCTAAATTGGCTTCTAAAAAGCTTTGCGTACTCAGTAGAGCAGGACAGTATTTCATGCTTGCACACCGTTTGCAACTTTACAAGCGCAGGTTCGGCCTCACATGGAACATTGTTCTCATCTCTGGGCCGGGACACCCCAAGGCGAGCTCCTTCCACTTAACCGCATAGAGAACAGAGCGGCTTGACGTCGACGACCGAGTTGTCTTTGATTGGCTCGATTCATTGGCGCTGCGTACAGATGTTGCATCCCTTTGCATTTTCTATCGTATTTACCACGGGGAGTGCTCTAAGGAATAGTTCTGATTAATTCCAACCACCAAAGGAGAATGGGATTTTTGGGCCTGAAGTTAACTAATTGGTTTATACTTTAAAAATCGGCCAAATAAATAGCTCTGTTTACAATCTAGAATTCGAAAAAACAATAAAATAAGAAATAAGTTAGAAAATCGATTGTAGTGTATTCTTTATGGCAATAATTCGATTACTATAAAGAATACACTAGTGAGTTTCTCATTCCTGAATGTTACGAGTATCTTACATTAGAGGACTTCTAATTTTGAGACTTGACAATTCAAACTTCAAACTATTTACTTAAAAGAAAAAGACAGATTTTCGATTCGATTTGAAACGAGCGCAACATAATCGATTCTCGATGAAATTGAGCATTTTAATATCTATTTTCGATTATTTTTCTGTGTTGACTAGGAAGATCAAAAATAATTGCGTACATATCTATAAAATAATAATAAAAATACAGAATATCAACAAGTAACAGATACAACAACAATTCAAGTGATCGATCTCAGATCGATAATATATATTTCAATTAGTTGTTGTTGTTTTAAATTTCGTTAATCGTTTCACCATTTCGTTTCATTATTAACCACAGCTTTTTGGTGATTTTATACTGATCCTATTTTTATATCTTTAAGTAATTATAGACAAAAATAGCCTGTTATAGTGTAATAACAGTGAAAAATCACCTGTTACAGTGTAGGTAATAGATAATCTCACTTTTACTTATTCTACAATAACTCAGATTCTAGATTAACAAATCTTGCCAGATTTTCAGGTATGAATTGTTTATATATACACTTTCAAATGGTCCTACTTTCATCTTGTTAACGCTTGGGCCCAAGAATGTATGGAGACGTCTCCTTTTCCTTTCACCAATACACATCGCGATAAATCTTACGTTACCATCCACATCATATGAATGCTTGGCGGTCCCCTACCGTGCAATTTAATAGGAGTTTTCTTAGAGAGTCTTAGAAATCGTTTACCATCGGCAATTTTTATGGACTGATAGCTCTTAGGGACATTCAAGGAACGAGCTTACTCCTTTTCAAAAGGATGGCAACGCATCTGCAGTTCTCCTAGTGTTGTAGAATTATATTAAAATTTTAAAAAGAAGGCCATCTTGTTGACCGGTTGTACTAGTTGTACTGGCTGACATAGACGTTTCACGTTAAAACCAAGGGTCGTGTGCTAAACATAGGCCCACCCCATTGCTTTATTGGTATGGATACAGTATCGTTTACTGTTTTACCTCTTTAAATATTGTAGATGATTAGATCTGCATCCTGTATCATATTTTTTATCGATAGCACCAATCGATAAATGTCAATCACTAACTCATTTGGCGTTACTAGTTAACAGAGGGTGCTTATTACAATGATGATAAATGTTCTAGAACAATCTACCAGAAATAATAAAATTTAAAAATTATGGGATAAATATACAGTATACTTGCGATAATAAACCAAAATCACGTTCAATTTTTGCTACATATCGGGACTTACAATACCTTATAGCACTATCGGGCATATTTTCTTTAAAAATATTTTTTTAATTTAGGAAAGGAATGCGTTTTGTGCTGTTGACGATGTCACTAAGACTAAATGACACAAATCCGAAATATATCCTATAGGACATAAGTGAGAGGTGACTATTTTGTTGTTGATGTCCTGTCTATGACTACTAATACTTAAATGTCTTTGCATTTTAGAGAAGCCTTGCCTTAATTATTACGCTTGGAATTTGGATTGACGATCACCGTACCAAACGAGTCGCATCTATAATGCAACTTCAACGCTTAAAATTATTCTTGAATTCCCATCTACAGAAACAACAAAATCTTTGAGACATTTCCCATAATGGCCTCTCACTGCACCAATGAAACTAAATGGGATGATGGATTCTCTAAAACAGGCCCCGATTCTTTTTTCTATTCAGATTCCTTGCCACGTCTTAGAAACTGCTAGCTTCTACTGAATACTTTAGGTTTTAAAGTTTTAAAATTAATATGGTATAATTTGTTGGATTCCATAAGCTACGACCAATATATCTTCTTTTGCTCAAAAGTTGAAATAAAGTCACTGGTTTATTCTCATTGTCGTTACACGGCAGGATTAATTTTGCATTAATAAAATTAAATTTAGATTTTAGAGGATGAAAACTCAAAGTTTAAGGAAAAAATATCAGTACTCAAGGACAAATTGAAAGAAGCAACAAAGATAATTGAAGATCTGACTGAACAAATGCTTACAATAAATGACGAGTGCGGCCGTTTAAAAGGTATGAAACATTTTCTTCAATATCGTATAGTAATTTAAACACTAATATTTTTTGATATTTCCCTCAGAGTCTCTTGGTGTTGTCGAACAAGTAAAGTCTGAGCTGGTAGAGGAAGTAGAGTACTTAAAAGAAGAAATACTTTCAAAGAAAATTCATAAAGAAAATATATTGGAAGACATGAAGGCAAAAATAAAACATCTTAAGGTGTAACCTTTTAATCTTGCTAACATTTATTATATTAAATTTATTTGTTGTGCATTTTATTTCACGAAAATATTTTTTTCTTCAATTGTTTTTATTATATTTCAGAGTGTAATAAGTACTCAAAACAATGAAATAGACCAATTATCTGAAGAAAATAATAAATTAAAACAGGATCTCATTCAAGTATCTGCACTTGCTCCTGCTCTTCCAGAAGAAAAAGTAATTTTATTTTTATACTTATATCCTTAAAAAATATATACTTGTCTGCATAGAGTCAAATTAACGCCCACTTAAGAACTATTTTATTAAAAAATGATGAAATAATTTTTTACTTTAATAGCATCGCTTTAGTTTAAACTTACTAATTATATTCAGCCAGTGAATAAAAATGTCAACATAATTTGACACATATAACTATTTTTGTGAATTTTATTACATTTGTTCCACAGTGTTCTACAGTGCATTTTTTAGTTTTCTGGTTAGGCTATAAATGCAAATAAGGCTTAATTTTTGAATATTAGGTCTTTACCTACGAAATTGCCGTTTTTTATAAAATAAGTTAACGTAATTTTTTTTCTATAATTTTTATGTCTATTAATCAAAGCATCATATATTGATAATATATTATGCAACTGATGCATCTTTGCCAACGCAGTGGCATTTTATTGATGCCGTTCTTGAAGAAATCAGCTGAACTTTCAAAGGTATTTTGTATTGCCTCTCGGGTATTTAATTTTTTTCCGCCAAAAAGTAATTCAAATTCTGGAAAAAGTATAAGTCTGTAGGTGCAAGGTCTAGTGATGTGGTGGTGGATGACAGAGAGCTTCCAACCCCAGCTCTTGTAACTTGGAGACCGATTATTGTGCAATATGAGATTGCGCGTTGTCGTGCGATGTCATGCAGGAGCAGCAGAGACTACTGCTTGACCTAAGCAAGTTGGAGACGTGTGAGCTTCTCCATCATTGTGTTTTTCACAGTACACATCTGGTATGATAAGAAACTAATATGAATCACACCGGCGCTAGATCACCAAACAGTGACCATCACTTTTCTAGGGGTAAGTTTTCGTTTAGGGCATTGCTTAAGTGCTGAACCAGGATCCAACCAACTTGCTGAGCACTTTCAATTGTCAAAGAGAAATTATTTTTTATCGCAGGTAATAGTGCAGTTTAAAATTCCTTCATTATTGTGACTGTTGAGCAGTGCAAAGCACGTCACGCGTACTTCGTGCTGGCTATTATTGAGTTTATTGGGCACCCATTTGCCAAGCTTTTTTAGCTTGCCAATTTGACGAAAATGGACCAATATTGTTTTAATGCTATCGTTGAAAACTGTTGCTCATTCAGCCATAGATTGAATATCGTCAGCTACCACAATAGCCTTTAATTCGTCATTGTCATCCAAAAATGGTTCATTTTTCAAGTCCAAATTTCCAGAACGAAAGCGGGTAAGCCAATAACAGGTGGTACGTTCGTTTGTAGTATTCGCTCCGTAAACTTTGTTGACGTTGCTCATATATTAGAATTTCTCGAATTTTTAATGTATCCATGATGACGAAAAAGATTCAAATGCGATGAAAACATAACGCTAAATAATAAACAAATGGCTAATTTTGAAAAAAAAAAATTCCATGTTTTTAAAATAAAATTAATTTGTAATTAGGATCCTTAGCCAAACAAAAATAATTGTGATTTTTAAGGACATTACTACAGAACGGCAATTTCATAAGTAAAAACCTATTATATTCTGTAAAGCATAATACTTGAGGACATTAGCTTTAAAAATTATAAGAAGTTAAATGCTTCTATGATATTGTCTTGATAATAGATATTAGTTCAGGCATTGCTGCTCCATTCTTATTTATTTTTATATTTAAAGGAAAATAATTTGGAAAAGTTAAGAATAACGGAATTAGGTGAAAAACTTGCGGAAGCTTCGAATGAAATTATACGTTCAGCTTCTTTAATAGATGTGTTAAAAGCCGAAAACAAGCAGTTAAAATCTATTATTGAAGAAACTCTCGAAGTAGACGACGACTCCAATGTTAAAAATGAATGTGATGATGGAAAAGAACGTAATATGATAAATAAATTAAAAATTAAAGTTAAAAAATTGATAGATGCACTTCAGCGTTGTGAGGAGATGTTGGTTATCAGAGAAAAGAAGGTACCTATGTTTAAAAAATATTAAAAAAACTGCTATTTATAATAAAAAAGTGAATAACCGCATTGCTTCAATATGTGTATTAAAAGTCGAGTTGCCTTTTATTCAAATAAATTACATTTGCTTCGTTTCTTTTTTTAATTTAAGATATCTGAGTTGTCATCGCAGCTCAATCTCTTGAAATCCGACGAAGGTGTTAATGCTTTACTAACGGCTATTAAAAACAAAAAACAAGAACTGAAAATCAAAGATGAAGGTATAAAATCTTTAGTAAAAGATATAAATAAACTAAATAAAATTGTAAATGATCTGCAGATAGAAAATGAATCCATGAGGTAAGCTATGCAATTTTCTAATAGTCATCTCTATATAAAATCATTGGTGGATTTTTGGTGATCGTGTAACTTATAAACCACTTGAGCGATTGAGGTTACGATCACTAAATACATTTTATCGAAACGATAGTTTATGGTTATGCTAAGATCCGATCGGTTCAGTGAAGTTGTAAACAAATTATTTACCTATTAATTAACTAAAGTGACTATTTTTCCCAGTGTAACATATATTCTATACTAAAAACGTATATCACAAAATCTGGACACGATAGGTGACGGGCGCTGTGGTTTGTCAGAATATTTTATATTTACGCTTGTAAATAATTTACGAAATTAATTAATATCAAATATCTGAAAAGAACTTTTGTGACAGATAGACAAACACACTGACAGAGAAAAATGAGTTATGTATCAAATTTTGTTATGAAACATGATATTGTGAAAATGAAGTCCGCGCGAGCAAAGCCGTGGGTGACAGCTAGTTATGTAATAAAATCATATTTTTGTACATTGTTTCATATCAAACTAATTTATTTTAGACGAGAACTGCATATAACCTCGGAGGATAAAGTTCCAACAGAGGGAATTATGCATGAATATTATACTTTAAAGCAAAAGAAAATGGCTTTGACTAAGGAACTTGCAAAAATGGAAAACCAACTTGTTGCAGCAGAAATGGATAGTCGAGAAAAAGATGCTATCATATCAAAATACGCGACATTGTTACACAATTTTGGATTTAGTAACTTGAAGGCCGATAAAATAATCGGACATGAAAATGACGATCGTAATGAGGCCGAACGGTATTTACTCATTTTATTTAATAAGGTATTTGTTGTGAGGTCTCCATATAAAGATTTAGACAAACTTTGTTATTATAGAATAAACAACACCACATCGGATTACACAAATCAAGAATTAGACGTTCAAATTCTACTTGAGGAAAATGAGGGTCTACGGAAAGGACTTCAAGAAATTTTACATTTTCTTAAAGACAACAGTATGTATTTAAATTAGTTAAATAAGCACCTAATATTTATAAAATTTATTATTAGAATTCATACAGGCTTTCAAAAGTCCTCTACTGAACATAGGCCTTCCTCAAATAAGGCCACGAAGCAAGGTTCTGAGCCACCTGCATCCATCGATTTCCTTCATCTCTTCTCAGATCTTTGATGCATGCTCTGGTAAGCTACCATACACTCGGCTTGCTGGTACGAGGCTGCCACTCGAGAACCAGCTTTTTCTTATCTATTGATAGTCTTTTCTTTGAGCTATATGAGCGGCCCAACCACTTCAGCTTAGTGATCCATCGGGTTACGTCGGTTACTTTGATTCCTCCCTGATGTCCTTATTTTGAAGTCTATTACATTTATTAACATAACATAAAACATAACATAAACACTCACGCCTGTCACCCAGAGGGGTAGGCAGAGATTATGGACTTCCATTTGGCACGATCCTGACACACCTCTCTCGCTTCCTCCACATCCATATACCTACGCATACACGCTCGTCGGTTAAAGGTACTCTTGATTTGGCCCATTTTTAATATATCGCCAATTTGGTCGATAAACTTTCGCCTAGGGCGACCCTTCCCGACTATGCCGTTCACCTCTGCAACATAAATTTGCTTTGTCACTCTTTCCTCATTCATTCTTTCTACATGGCCAAACCACCGAAGCATTCCTTTCTTAATCCTGGTCACAACATCAACTTGCAAACCACACTCTTCTCTTATTAAACAATTTCTCACTCTGTCATTCAGCTTCATCCCTAACATACTCCTTAATGACCGCATTTCTACAGCATTTATTCTACTCTCATGCTTCTTCTGCCACACCCAACTTTCACTACCATACATTAAAGTAGGTACTAACACAGCATTTTGAATTGCCATACGTGCCTTTTTGGACACATTCTGACTTTTCACAATAGAGTGTAGAGCCCCATTCACTCTATTTCCTGCATTCACTCGTCGTTCTATATCCTTATCATATCTACCATCCCTGCTAAATACACATCCCAAATATACAAACTCATCTACTTGCTCTACCAACTCCCCTTCTATTCTTATTTCACATATCGTTTTACTTTCTTCTCTTTCAAAAACCATAACTTTCGTCTTACTTGCGTTCACTTTCATTCCCTTTTCTTTTAATGTCCTGTTCATTAATGTAACCATCATTTGCAACTCGGCTGCCGACGATGCAAGTATGACTTGATCATCGGCGTACAAAAGGCATTTATTGTAGTATCAAATACTCTTCTTTCTTATTTTTGTGTAATAACTTTAATATTTTTAAATCTAGAATGATTTAGGACATTTTTCGCATAATAGTCTGTCTGGATTAACTTTACCACACTTTGTTAATTACTGTCACCAAACAGCTGTATACCATGATATGCTGAGTTCTAGTTTGAAGGTAAGAGTCAAGGAAGGCCAGTCCTCAATAGAGATAATGCATCTGTAGCCTTCTTTGTTTAAAGCTAGTTGCAGGTGTCCAAGTCCTATAGTAGCCATTTACCATCAGGTGGACTGTGAGCTTGTTCTTCACATTGATATGATTTAAGAATAACACAAATAAAATTTAAGAATGTATTTTAAATCTGTGTGATATTTATTTAGGTGCCAGTTCATCGGGTGTATTGAGTTTAGAATGTCCAAGCTTAGAAGCAGTTTTAGATTCCTTGGAAGCACGCCATGCTGCTGGTTGGTTTGCTCCGCATATTGCAACCACAATGCAACTAAAAGCAGCTTTAGGTGGAAAAGATGCTCTTCTAACTGCGCTTCATCAGTCCAGGTATTACAAATTTATTAATAAATGTTCATTGTAAGGTCCCGTCACACTACAATATCTCAGCCGTACTTGAAAAGTGTTTATATAATATTAACACGAACCTATTAAAAGTTATAACCGAAAAGCTATTAGACCTGCCCAGTTGTAATTTTGCATACCTAAAATTCCCTCCTTGAAATCTTGAATTTCATGAATATGATTTTTTTACATGGGGAAATGCCAACGCATATCCGCATAGGATACGGCAAGGACGGGTTATCGGACTTGTACAGACTAAAACCTCATGGTGTTCCACCTTTGCCGCATATTGGCAGGGCCACAGGAATGCTTTCGCACACATCCGTGGTCCTACCAGTGCCTGCCGCCCCATGGCAGTCCCCCCTTGGGAGAAGACTTCTCCTTCCTATTTTTCTTCTCAGGTAAGGTGCACCAGGATCACAAGGCGCGCCTTCGTCCACGGCCTCCAACTCCTGCGTAACGGTAAATTCCTGAGTCCGATACGCGGAGACCATGGGGTTAAAAAAAACGAGCGCTTGGAAGCACTAGGTTTCTCCCCAGCGGTGAATCTGGTTTCTCGCTCCGCCGACAACCAAGTATCGATCGCGGAGGGTAGAGAGAGCGGCGCCTCGCAATACTAACACTACTCTGCCCCCGCGGTCCCACCACCTCCGCATTAACGGTACGGCCCTGCCAAAGTCGCGGAGGATAGGACGAGTGGTGCATCACCATACCAACACTATTCTTCCTCCACGACTCCACCTCGGCTGCAGCGGCAGAGGGAGAGGACACTCCTGTCGCTACAGCCCACTAACACACATCCCAAGTGGATTCGCCAAGCCCCCTCGGAGTGGTCACCTCGGTCCGGCCCTACACCTCGAGCCAGCCAAATGGGTTCCTTGTTCATTGTAGGTGACCAAACCACGGCTAGCAATCCCCACCATCACGATAAGACGGGAACCCGTTCAGGGGGTTCATGAGAATACCTACTGATCCACTGGCTCATTAATCAAAAACCCAGACAACTTCTAGGTAATTAAGAAACTTGCATTAAGGTAGATCTGCTGCATGATCGGCTGTGGAGTTTAGTAACCTAGGGTGATACATAATCTATGGCGACTGTTCGCCCCAAACACTTTCAAGGAACGTCTTCAGCTCATGGGCCCCTGAGGATTGGATCCTTTAAGGGAGCAGCCGTAGGCTGTAACAGCGACTCATTAAATAAAATTTATTGTACACACAATTATGGGAGACACGGATACACCAATCATGACACTAGAATGTCACACTTTAACATTAGCGTCTAGGTTCGACCGCGACGCAGAACCTATTAAAATTCTGACTCACTTTTGAGGAGTCAAGTAACTGGCATCACATTAATTCGCTCTTCATTTACCATTTTTTTTCATAGCACAAAAATCGTATAAAAAGTTATTATAATAAAAATAAATGCATAGTTGATAAATATTACCTGCAAAACCTATTTTTCCTCCTTTGGGTTGAAATTGTTCATAAAATTTATATACGTCAACCTCTAAAACCTATTTAATAAAAGAAGAATCATTCAAATCGTTTCAGACATTTCCGTTTTTGGAACTCGGTTAAGCACCGAAAATATTTGGAAGATGGGTGCAAAGCCTGAAGGATATGATACCTTAAACCATTTAGTATATATTAAGCTAAACTGGTCTTAGACGAAGTCTGCTTCTTTTTTTTAAAATTGCATTTCTAATTTTTTTAACAATAACACCCATTTTTTTTTTTCAATTTATTGCTAATAGTGTCCAGTAACAGTTGTTATGTTATGATTTTTATTTATGTAATGTGTGATTCACTTACACACTCAAGCAAATTAATTTCCTATTATCTTCATCATCAGAAAAACATTCTACGCATATTTAAGTTTAATAATCCAAAAAAAGGAAATATTGTGTTTATGCCATCATATAAAAATAAATAAAATAGCCTTTGTTGTTCAAATATTTTAAAAACATGCTTAGTTATTGCCCTTTCCTTTGATATATTATTTATGCAGATGTCTCATCAACTCTTGGAATTAGGGTGTACAAAGCAAATTGCGGACAAATATTTTTAATTTTTAACAGCCAAAAAGCAACATTTTTTGTTAAAATAATTGATTTTTCGTGTTCAATATGTTGACCGCGATTTTTTGCAGGCTCGTCTTATAATTTCGTGTTTCGTGTCCTGCTTCATAACTGGAAAAGCCGTATGGATTCTTCCTATTAACTCCTCTCTGGTTGATATTTCCACATGCGTGTAGTCGAGTTCCTTGGCCCGTCCTCAAACGAAAAAATCCACCAAACGATCGAGGTGGCCAAAAGATGGGCCCGTCTCTGCCGATCCAGTTCTCTGGGAAACAATTATTTAAATGTTCTCGCACGCTTAGGGTTTAATGCGATGGACAACTAACTATCTTGCTGAAAGATCATTGGTCTTATCGTTGCCAATATTGGTATTTCGGCACTGGGAGATCGTTTATGAGGAATTCCAGGTAATTGTCTCCATTTAAATTATCTGGGTTTTATTATTACAAACCTTAGAAATTCAATTTAAAAAAAGGAGCAGACTTCGTCTAAACAAGTTTAGCTTAACATGTTATAATTGGTTTAAGGTATTTTCCCCTTTTGGCTTTGCACCCATCATCCAAAAAATCTGTATAATATATTTAACAATTATAAGGAGTGTCCGTCAATCTTATTTACTCTTTAACCGACTTCTGAAAAAGGAGGAGGTGCTCTATGCAACTGTATTTTTTTATGTTTGTGTGTTACGTTTTCTAGATTTTTTTTCTAGATGAACCGATTTTGATGATTCTTCTTTTTTATTTCAAAGCTGGTGCTTCTCATGCGAGTTGGCGGCGGACATTGCCTTGCCCTAAAACTCTCTCAGAATTGAGGGGAGGCTTGTGCCCAGTAGTGAGACGTATATAGGCTGTAACTTTAACTAACTTTAACTTTTTATTTGAAAGCTGGCGCTTCTCATGTGGTCCCATATAAATTTGATCAAGATCTGACCAGTATTTTTTGAGTTTTCCTTAATAACGCGTATTTAATTGACTTCAAATACATTGACGATGTTCTAATTTTATTTATATTGAAATCGGTTGCACAAAATGTTTAATTTTACTTCTTAGAGTAGTCATCATTTAAAATAAAGAAAGCGATATTTTGAGCTATTGATTCTTAGTCGAACAACGTATGCCCATGTTAGGCAGTGAACTTTTACACACCAATGAAGAATAAAAAAATAATTATTTATTTATTCTAGATTTCGTCATTTATAAAACAAAAATTTTCTAGAATTTTTCTAGATTTTCTGGATTTTATTTACAAAGCATGTTTTCTGTTCTTTTTGTAGAAAGGAGTCATTTGACTTAATAACGCAATTGACAAAGAAATCTCAAAAGTGTGAAGACTTGAAAAATAAACTTCTTGAATTTGAAGTAAAAAATAAAGAGTCACAAGTATTAGCTAAATCGAACGAATCGATGAAAAATATTGAGATTGGTGAATTTAGTTTTTGGATGCCTGAAGATGAAGACAATGATATCGATTTACGCAATAAAACTCAAATAGAAAATGTTATTTTAAAAAGGAATTCTGTTTATGAACGAGAAGTTAAAAATGCTTTAAAATATTTTCGTAACAAATTTGAAATGCTTTTTGATAAAATGACTGAAATAGCGACTAGGACAGAAGATGATAAAAGTAAATGGTTAATTCAAGAAGAATATTTAAAAGCCGAAATCGAAAATTTAAAGGCGCTAAAAAGCATTCCTGAAGACGAAGATGCAAGTGATATTTCCCCTGGTTTAGTAACCACTCCTAAAGTTAGTGCTCTAGAAAGGAAATGTTTTTATCTCGAAGAATCCTATAAAAACATCAGAACTTCTTATGAAAATCTTAAAAATGAACTGTTAGAATTTAAAAAAGATGGATTAGTATCTACTGCAAAATATGAATCTCGGATCCAGAATTTAATATTGCTTATCATACGCCTCTCAGACAAACTTCGCTCTTCTATACCTGAGAACTTATTTTGGAAACAAAATATAATGCTAAATGAAATAATGACAAAATATAACCACTTACTAAATAATGATATAACGAGAACAGTCCAACCAGTTAAACTTTATGAGTACTTGGAAGAAAGTAAAAGGAGTGTTATAGATACTATACTAAAACAGCTACAAAATATTAATAGTAAGTAATTTTCTACTAATACTAAGTTACTAATAGTAAGTTCGCCGCGGTAGCGATAGAAATATACTGGTACAATTTTTACGCGGGGTGAGACGTCCCGGGTAAAGTTCGTGTGTTCATTTAACATTAAATGGCATAAGTAGTTCATTTATTACGTTTTTAAGAAATTGTATCCTTAATAACTCATATTGACCTTGGTTTTGAGGAGGAAAATTATAATTTTTTCAAATGCTAACCCGTGTACCCGTTTGTCTATTTTATAAAAAAAATCCGCACGATATACACTCTGCTATTTGTTGGACAAGGATCTGCTGATATACTGGTAAATAAGCGTAACTCAAATATATGTGCGCTCATAAATCACTCCAGTCAAAGTGGTGATAATGGGTTAGTTTCCCAATAATCCCTTCGGCTGGGAAAAAGGCCTTTAAAGGGGTAGTGGGCAAAAAGTATGTTGATGTGATTAGTAAAATTTATAGTAAGTAAATTTTAATATCAGACACGGATTTCACTGTCGTTACGTTAGAAAATTTTACATTTACTAATTGGTAGGACTTTTTTTCCTGCCTAGGAGTCCATCTGGGTAGATATTGGCCTTGCATTTCTGTGTTCCGATCTGAAGAGTATAGAGAGCAAGTATAATTACAGGCTGTGAGCCTTTCCACCTTTGTCCTCAGAGGTGACAATGCATCTACAGCCTTCTTTATTTGAAGTAGGCTGCAGAAGTCCTTTGAGTTGCAGTAGATATATAATAAATCTATCTAAGGCTTTAAGGTATACCTCAAAACTTGAAAACGAGACTGTACAACTAGTGTGTGTTACCAGTGATGACATACGGAACTGAAACGTGTTCGTTCACTGCTGGCCGGATGAGGAAGCTCAAGGTCGCTCAGCGAGATATGGAGAAGGCTATGCTCGGAGTTTCTCTGCGTGATAAACTCAGAAATGAGGATATCCGCAGTAGAAACAGAGTGACCGACATAGCCCAACAGATTAGTAAGCTGAAGTGGCAATGGGCCGGCCATATAGCTCAAAGAACCGACAACCGATGGGGAAAAAAGGTTCTCGAGTGGCAGCCTCGTACTGGCAGGCAAAGTGTTGGGCGTCCCCCCACTAGATGGAGTGACGACCTGGTAAGATATGCAGGAGGTCGATGGATGCAGGTGGCTCAGGACCGTGCTTTGTGGCATTCCTTGGGGGAGGCGTATGTTCAGCAGTGGACTTGTGAAGGGCTGTAATGATGATGATGATGAAGGCTTTAATATCGTTTGTCACTTGAGTTTCATAAAAAATTCGACTTGTCAAGAACTGAAAAAAAGAGTACCTAATAAATGAATAATAACTTATATCAAAGTTTTATAATATTTTTTTAAATTGCCACGTGACGGTGGTGTATAAGAATCTATATATCCAGCTAGCGAATAAAGAAAGATGTTGGAAATAGTAAAATTTAATTTCAGAGAACGGAATTAAGGATCAAGAAAGTAATACCGTTGCTAAAGCTGAACACGCTCTTGCTGAATCGCAATTGCAAGGGATTTGCTCGGAGTTAGAAAGCAAAAACGCACAGTTAGCACAATTAACTAAATTTAATATGGAATTACAAGAATTACAAGTAAAATTAATGTGAGTTTTTATATTAAAATATCTTATTTTAGTCTTAAATATGACCAAGCATAATATCTAATTTTATGCATTTTGTAAGCATGATACATAGGTCCGTTCTATTCTAATCTACTATTAATTTAAATTAATAATAAGAAATTCACAAATAGTTCGCGTAAAGAATGGTGACACTAAACTATAGACGGCTACAACAATCTGAAATTGTGCTTAAAAGGATATCTGGACTACAAGAATTTTTAATAATTTATTGATATCGCGTTGTGCCCGTATGACCGTGCTAGGCAACTATGATAGTTGCAGCTCAGACTATACTTACTTCACATTATGATGTTTAATAATCATAATATTATATCACATAATTGTGCAATTTTAGTTTTTTAAGTTTTTAAATAATTAATTTATGAAAAAAGGAAACATAAGCAGTTATAGATATGGACGATCATTTGTTTTGTTTTTAATTATACACCATGCACGCATTCCTTTGCCAAGAATACAATTTAAGAACTGATGAAAGTACTAAGCAATCGCAGCTCTAATAGGTACGTGTTCGACTCGTACTACGAGTATTACAAAGAATAATTGATACGTTTAGGTTTAAGTATCTTCACGTTTATATTGATAAAATTATTTATTTTTAAAGAGATGAAACTTTGGCATCAGAAACAAAGGAGGAAATAAATATTATGAAACAAAATTTATTGCATTTAAACAATGAAAATAAAGTGCTTAAAGAGCAATGTAAACAGTTAAAAAACCAACTGGATATCACTTTATCACAGGTGCGTAGCTTTTTTTTAGTATTAGTTTAACCATATCTAAACGTGTTCGGCCTTATTACAAAAAGTAGTTTATAGTTAACAAACTAGCATCTGTTTCATGAAAGATGTCCTGACGGAATTATGCAAACTAAAATGTGTGTGAAGTTTGACAGTAAATGTCAAATTTCGCGAAAGCTATGGTGCTACGATTAAGGACTTTTTTTGTTATAAGGACTTTTTATACCATAGTTTAAGATAAAGCACTTTTTGGTTATAAGATGGGTTTTAATTAAAAGGAATGTTAAACTATCGCACTACAACTGAAATCTTAGAAATAATAATAAAATAACTTAATTTGAATTTCAGTTGCAAAGTGATAATCAGGGGTATTTGAATTATGAAACAGAAATAAATATGCTACGACATCAAATACTTGATCTACAATCGGTAGGAGATAACAAAGCAGTTATTGCACGGTAAGGCGCAAAGCAATTCTTGTAAAATATTTGTATAATCGAAACTCGCAGTTTAGTGACCAGTCACAATCCTACATATCACGTACATAATATGTTCGTCGTCGCATTTTATGTAAGAGTCAGTATTTAATTTTTTCAATACTGGCTATTACATAAATTTTCTGACATTACACAAAGTCACAAAATACCGACAAAGTTGATTCTCTTTCGCAAACATTTTAACGATCTTCAGTACACTTGCCAAAATGATGACGATCATGACAACTTCTCTCCATAGAGAGACTGCGAGAGAGAGAGAGAGAGAGAGAGATCTATGTCCATTAGTGGACTGTAACAGGCTTTGGAAGAAGTGAATAATATATATTTTTTTTTATTTTGTGCAAGGTTGGGAAATGAAATATTAATAGCACATCTACAAGCAACTGAATGCCAGAAAATGGTGGCACACCTCAGACAATCTTTAATCAGAGAGAAAGAATTACGAGCAGAAACGGAAGATTCAATGAAAGCTCAACAAAGAGTGTTTGATATGTACACTATAAAATACGAAAGCAAATTCAGGTAAGACGGACAAAAGACTAAATTTACATTTGGAGTAACTAAAATATCTTAACTCTAATTATTTTCAGATACATGTTTGAAATTATACAAACATTGAGACTACAATATCACGGCTGTATACCATTAACGTCAGCCGAAACTTATTTGAATAATTTACAGGAACTTTCTAAGGCAACCGTTACTATGACTGAAAAATCAAATGAAATTGAAAATTTACGATTTAGCCTAATCGCGAAACATAGTGTCTATGATCAAATATTAGAACTAACAAAATCTGAATCTTGTGAAGATACAGAAAGATGTCGGCATAAACTGCAATTAGTTGTATCGGTAATTATTAGCTTATAATTATATTTCTTCAATCATCCTTTAAATTTGTCAGAATAATTAAAAAATAATCCCACTTAAACTTTAAGCAAGGTATATCCGCAAGAGAACTGGAACATTCTAATATAAAGCTACAGGCTTTAGAAAAAGTACGCGAAAAATTATTAGAGCGATGTAATTATCTAGAAACAACATTAGTTATGGTAAACCAAGATTTAAGAAATGACGTTATCAGTAAAGATATCATAAAAAATTCAGTTTACCATATAACCACGGACAATAATAACATTGAAGTACAAAATATTGAATCTGATGATGAATTAATATCTAGCGGTTAGTATAGCTATATTGTTAAACATTTGCTTGCAATTAGCAGTAATATAGTATGTTTATTCTGAGAAAATAAAACTTGGTTAATGATGATTGATAACTTGTTGATGTAACTTTTCCCACAGGGACTTTTGTCAATTTTTATTGTAAGTCAGTAAGAATATTATCTTTTTTATATCAATACGAATAGTTTGTAATCATTTTTAGGATTGAAGTAATGGCGACAACCTTTAAATTATTGTAGAAGCTAAGGCTGCGCAGAGTTATAGTGTTTTATAAGTATATAAGAGTAAACCAAAACATAGAGTTACACACTCATTCTAAAGTAGCTGTGCCCAACGTAAAGGAGATTATGATGCTGCGTTAACAAAGAAAAAAAAAAATGTTAATTGTTTATTTCTTTAACTAACATAAAAATTATCTTATAACATTAAAAGATTTGGTGTATGTTTTAGAAAGCGGAACGTTTACTTTGCCTAAACCTCATACAACTCAATTACAAAATCAAATTATTTTACAAGAAAAATACCCCATCGCAAATTTTAATAACAAACCAGACCAAGTTCAGCAGCCAGATAGTCCAAAGCATGTAAGTATAATGACACAGACAAACTTAGTATTTACTCAAAGAAGTGATAAACATATTCAAACAGACAAAGATTATAATTTAAGTGAATTAAAACTTCGTATAGAAAAATTGGAAATCAGAAATAAAGAGAAAGACCAGAAACTTATCGAGCATTTATGTGTGTCAGAGGAACGAGCAAGAAATATCGAATTACTTAAGGAGGAAAAAAATGTCTTAGAGGAAAAATATCAAAGTCTTACTCAAAACAATTTAAAGTTAAATAAATTGAATGAACAATTAAATAAAACTACTGAATTACTTAAAATAGAACTTGATGAAGTTAAAAGGGCTCATTCTGAACAATTGAATAAAATAAAGAAAGAATTGAACGAAGAGAATCAATCACTTTTACTTAACATAAAGCAAATTGAAAATGACAAAAACAACATAATAGCGGACTATAAACAATTATTAGAAAACGAAAGAAATCAATGTTACACAACAGCAAAGGAGTTACAGTCAAAATTAACAACATTACAAGCTGATTTGGACGGGTAAGGTATTGCGTTAAAATTATAAATTTTCTTTTTGTATAATTTTTTATAATCCTAACTTTTGTATAATCGCTTATTGAGTTACTTAGTAATAGTATAATAAGTTAATTTAGGTAATTTAGAATTAGATAATTTCCATCAATCATTCTTTGGGAGGTGTTTTAGATAAAGATCATCTTATCTCATGATACATACGTAACAATCTCTTTTTATTACAGAAAAGCAACTGCCACCAACGCTGCAAATGCGGAAATTATTAAGAAAAATACACTTAAATACACTATTAAGAACGCAGAACTTGAAGATAAATGTTTTAAATTACAAAACAGAGTAGAAGAATATAAAACAGAAGTGTTAGTTTTAATATTTACTATAGAATAATATTAATTCGATAACTGAAATTATGAAATAGTTTAATTATGTGTTATCTTCACCAGGACCTATTGCCAAAGTGAGTTAAAACGTTGGAAGGAATTAGCTTCAGAGAGACTAGAAAAAATGGAACAGATGAGTATGCAACTAAAGGAACGTCATAATCAGGAGGTAAGTAATATAATCAGTGGAATGAAAAACGTAAAATTTATAAGAACGGCACTGATATTTGTAAAATATTCTTTAAATGATGAGCATTATGTGTTTACCCTATTCTTTCGACGTTTCGGCTAGCCAGCCAACAGCGCTATAGACATTCAAATAAGTTACTTTAATTCAGGTGTATATGATAAGCAAAATAATAAAAAGCATGAAATTATAGCAAAATACCCCCACCCTCTCCTGAGGCAATTTATGGAGGAGGCATATATAGCCCACATGTAAGTTACTCGTAACACTATGCTAAAGGGGATACATGCTCTGACTTAATTAAAATAGGAATTAGTTAAAAACCACAAACAAATCAGTGTTAATATTAATGACGCTACCTTCATGTCTAATTTTCCTACATAGGTTATTTTTGATAATGCTTTTTTCTTTTTGTTCAATTCAAAAATATATAAAATTCACATTCGCAGCAGTGTTAGCGTCCATTTTTTTGTTTATACTCGTGTTATATCAAGCTCTCACTAGTAATTTGCAATAAGCGATGACCTCGATACAGCACCTGCTGACACCGCTCACGCGTGCCGCCACCGGACGCAACGTGATCACCGCCGCTGACACAGCACCCCGATTGACGTCAATGCGCGTTTACCGCGATGCAACATTTTTATTTTATAAAATTAATTTATGTATTCTGTATCTAGCATCGATCAGGCATAGACTTAAGTTTAATTGTAAAATTAGTTTTCATTAAATTTACTTAAATAAATTTGGTTTTTTTTGGGTCCTTCGGCTGTGGTTACCATAATTGGCGCAGTCGGTAGGATACTCAAGGCGTCTTGAGGTAGTTTTGATAGGGTTTTCTCACATCGAAATCCCGCGTCGTAAATCAATCGCTACCGTCGCGAGCGATCGCGCGTCTTCGTGTATCCTTGAAAAGAACCTGGAGCCTGGCTGGAGGAGAAATCAAGAAATCGATCCCAGAGGAACCAGAATGCAATTTATGTAAGTACACTGAAACCGATTCTGTTCTCTGCTTCCTTTTACATATAATTTACCTTTTCTTTTACCGCCAAGATTTTTCATCCTAGGCAATCCATCCCTAGAGGGCCTGCGAATAATCGAGTGGCCCGTAGACTTAAATTAGATACAAATAGGAATATAAGTGTAGGTTCAAATACTTTATCGCATAATTCTAAGGGACTAAGCGATCCGGAATCCGCAATAATGGCTGACGTAGACGTAATTATTAAGGCCTTACGCCTAGTACCCGAATTCGACGGCAACTCGCATATTTTGCCCCGCTTTATAAATTTATGTGATCAGATCGCAGCGGAATATATAAATCAAAACGAAGGTAATGCATTAGCTAAACTTTACCTCGTGAATGGTATCTTAAATAAGATTACTGGACCTGCCGCACGAATAATTAATTCTAACGGTATAGCTGAAGATTGGAATAGCATTAAAACGGCTCTAATTAATAATTTCTCCGATCAGAGAGATGAGACCGCCCTTTATAATGATCTTATGATAGCCACACAGGGGAATAGTTCGCCCCAAGAATTCTACGACCGATGTGTAAACTTGTTCAGCACCATTATGACCTATGTCACCTTACACGATACTGTCGATACGACTATTAAAGCTAAGCGCGACCTTTACAGAAAGCTCACGATGCAGGCATTTGTTCGCGGATTAAAAGAGCCGTTAGGCTCTCGCATACGATGCATGCGTCCTGATAGTGTAGAAAAGGCACTTGAATTTGTACAAGAAGAATTAAACGTAATGTATCTTCAGAATCGCAGTGGATCTGCCGCAGATAAAAAACCGCAGGCACCACAAGTACCCATGCCTTCGCCAATAGCCGCGTATAAATTCCCCGTACAACCAATGCCTATGCCCAATTTTAAATTCTCTCAACAACAATGGCGGCCGAATAATTTTAACAATGCTCCCGTACCATATAGGCCTGTAGGTATGCCGACACGCACGCAACAGATATTCCGCGCGCAACCACCTAACTATAATCCACAACTTAATAGATTCCAACTCCCACCAAGAAGCGATTTATATAATTCAGGCCACAAGCCTATGAGTGGTGTAAGCCACTACGTCACAAAGGAAAGGCCCACGGGTGGTCAACTGTCAGGTCACGATTGGCGAAAATTCGGAAATCCGCCGCCATCTAACTACTTTAAGACTAGGGAGATGAACATGAACGAATTTGTGAACTATGGTGATGGTCATTGCTATTATTTTCCCGAGTACGCATATAATGAACCCAATGATTATTACTATGGGGTCTACCCGGAGTATTACGACCCAGAACCGATAAATTACGCGATTAGCGAGCTACCAAATTACGATTTACCTCAAGAGATCCCATCAGGATCCTACGTTGATCCCGAAATGACTAGTACGAGCTCAGCACAGGAACAGGATTTTCCCAAGCAAGGGAAATCCGAAAAGCCAAAATAGAACTGAATTTGCAGTCACAGAGACAGCTCCCGTATATACAAATTTCAAACCCACCTCTAAAATTGTTAATCGATACGGGTGCTAACCAATCTTTTATTTGCCCGGAAGCTGTAGGTAAATTTTTTCACGAAATCCCGTTAAACTTTGACCCCTTCGAGGTGACAAATGTACACGCTACCACGCGCAACGATTATTCTATAACTTTGCCATGTTTCAGCGAATTTCGGGAAACAGAAAGTATTAAACTGTTCGTTTATAAATTTCATGACTTTTTCGACGGCCTTATCGGTTTAGATTTATTAGAAAACTGGGAGGCCAAAATTGATCTTAAAGATAAAAAATTATTCACTCGTAATTCTGTTACTCCAATTCACATGTATAATTCACGGAACATAAACTTTTATGAAGACGTGATCCCGGCAAAAACAACGAAGCTAGTTAGGGTCCCTATTAATTTGCAAGACGGGGACGCTTATATTGATGAACAGATTATCTCTAATTGCGTAGTAAATGAATGCCTAACCACCGTCAAAAATAATCGTGGTTTTCTTGAAATTACGAATCCAACCTTGCACGACTTAATATTTTCTATGGATCGCGCCGTTCACGCAGAGGCTTATAACGTCCAATGCACGGGCATTGAACAAATGACGTCACGCGAACGCGAAGTACTTTCACGCTTGCGCACAGACCATCTTAATATGGAAGAGCGCATTAACTTAGAGAATCTGTGTCAAAAATATGCAGATATATTTTATATTGACGGAGAGGCCTTGACTTTTACAAATAAGATTAAACACAAGATTAGGACATCTGATGAGATGCCGGTCTTCACAAAAAGTTATCGTTACCCTTACATACACCGCGACGAGGTCAGGGATCAGATAAGGAAAATGCTAAGTCAGGGTATAATTAGACCATCGGAATCTGCCTGGAGCTCCCCTATTTGGATAGTACCAAAAAAACCTGATGCTTCAGGAAAGACCAAATGGCGTTTAGTCGTAGACTTTCGGAAATTAAATGAAAAAACTATTGACGACAAATATCCGATTCCCAACATTAATGACGTTTTGGATAAGCTAGGTAATTGCCAATATTTCTCAACCCTCGACCTGGCTAGCGGCTTCTATCAGGTCGAGATGGACCCAGAAGACATACCCAAAACAGCATTTAACGTAGAAAATGGGCATTACGAATTTTTACGCATGCCCATGGGCCTGAAAAATTCACCATCTACCTTCCAGCGGGTGATGGACAATGTCTTGAAGGGTCTCCAAAACGTCATCTGTCTGGTCTACCTCGACGACATAGTAGTTTTTAGTACCTCACTTCAAGAGCACATGATCAACCTCGAAAAGGTATTTTCAAGGCTTAGAGAATCAAACTTCAAAGTCCAAATGGACAAGTCCGAATTTCTCAAACGAGAGACCGCCTATTTAGGGCATGTTATTACCAAAGACGGCATCAAGCCGAACCCTGACAAGATTAAGGCTATTAAGAACTATCCAATGCCCAGAACCCCCAAAGAAATTAAGCAATTCCTAGGCCTAGTAGGGTATTATAGAAAATTTATCCCGAACTTCGCGCGCATCACTAAGCCATTTACACAATGCCTAAAGAAAGGAAACAAAGTTGTTATTAATTCAGAATATATTATGTTTATAATTCAGAATATATAATAGTTTTATGTTAATTAATAACTTATTTTATTATTTGATTTTTATACTGTAGTAAACTTTAGTTGTATTTGTAAATTTTAGTAAATTAGTTTGTGTTTGTGATTTGCATTACCTACCTATGTAAAAGTGTTAAAATGTTATTAATTACCATAGATAAATGTTATTGTAGTCCGTAGATGCTAGAGCTAGACATAGACAGTGGCAAAGACAAGGCAAAGACTATTGACCATAGATAATAACTTTTACTGTCAACACAGTAATGGTACCATGGGCACAGATACTTTTGCCATACAGCCGAATTTTGTACTTTTGTAGATTTAAATTTTCTTAATGTTTTTTTATATAATTTGTTTTCAAAATCTTGAGTTATTTTAAGCTGATTTTTATTGCAAATTTTTTTTTCCGATTATAATAATACTGTAGTGCCCTGCTGTTTAGATATTTAGTTTTCGTTTTATTTTTATATGTATATAATTTTTGTTTATAATTAGAATCACTGTGTTGGCTTGCTATTTACTTAGGTTCTTAGATTATGTTTTTTTTTTTATATATATATTTCTTTCCTGCTTTAATTGATAGTTCAGTAGAATTGCTTTTTTTTATTTAGTACTGATTATATCATGTAAACAGTTAACTGGTGGGATGATGTTTCATGATTTATTAATATTTAAGTCTTATTTTTCTATATTTTGGTTATATATTTTTTTATATATCATCGATAAATATCTTTATTTAAATCGTATTTTTATATATTTCTATTTTATTTATTTTTATATTGGGTATATTATGCTATAATATTAACTTATCATGTCTGACTCTGACTCTTTTTATTCTATTGAGTCAGAG